ATCTTCAGGTCAGTTGTGCTCCCACCTGTGCTTTATTTGCCCGTTAAACCAGTGACATGTCCGTCACTCACTCCTCCCTGCTTGCAAAATCTCCCTATTAGGACATTTAAAGTCATCAGTGTCCTTTGCTGGCTCCTCCTCCATCAAAACATGAAGGTGGTTTGGATATTCATCTTTCAGGGTTCTAGTTAGGTACGTGGGAGCTCAGCTCCCATAAGTGAGGGGGAGGTCTGAGCTCCAATGGAAGCAGTTAAATCATTCATCTGTGGGGGTACCCAATTCATTTATCAACAACCATTACTTTGATTCAAAAATTACTTTGTATTTTTCATTGTAGTTAGTATTATTTGCTGTACATTAATAAAACCAAAATAAACATGTTTTCCAAATAGGGCTGTGTAATTTGACTAAACTCTCATATCCTGATTCAAGTCATTTCAAATCTCCAAAACAATGCATATCCCCATATAGAGCAATTTTGTAAATTCAATGTATCATGAGTTAGTGTTGGAATTTCCAACAACTCATGACATTTCTCTGCATCATAAATGTGAGATAAGCAATTCTGGAGAAATCCAATACCCTGACAAATACCATGATACAGAGAGAACAACAACACAGCAAGTAATGTTACTACTTGTAGCTAAATTGTGTTAGCAAACTGTCGCTACTTGAGGACGATACTAGAGACCTGCGTGGGACTGTTTTCTTGATCCTGCTCCCACCTGCATGTGTGTTCTACCGCCCATTCCTGCAATGTGTGTATCCACTCCTGCCCGCACCCACAAACATTGTGACATGCAGAGTAAAAAAAGGACACAAATGTTTGGACTATGCTAAAACCATGTGACAGAAACCAGCGAGGCTGTGCAGTGAGTAAACCTCACTCACGACACCTTAGGAGACATCCTGGCAACTGTCACAAGTGGGCACTGGGTTTAGCTCCCTCATCAGCGTGTTGTGCGACATAATAAAATGAATGATAAATGTTTTTCAATCATTAATTGATTTATGTTGTCATGTCAAGTGAACTATGCTGCATGACTGTCATTATGACAGGATGGCTGCTCTCCACCAGGCAGACACTATGGTGTGCAGTACAATATTGACCAAACTGTAATGCAGAGTGAGACAGCATGACCCCCGAACATGAACTCAGTTAAAAGCAGCTACTACCAACATTATCTTATATTGAATAAAAGGTTGTAGTTTTAGACTAGGTGAGTTATCATGCTGCCAATAAAGGCTGCCACTGCCAACACTGTCTAAAATCCTGGCTAGCTTCGGTTTCTTCTCTGAGAAATAAAAAAACGCTTCACTGGCTATCATGACAGCCAGCACATTTTGGCTGCTATGAAGAATGCTAGCTATGCCGCTGGACCTGACGTTGCTGCCTGTGGGACCACCACAACACACTCAGACACACATTCACCTGCTAGTGTGCAACTGTTACCTGACCTGCTGAAAGTGCGACGACCAAAAACTTGCAGGAGCAGGATGAGGAGGTACAGGTTGCTGCAACAGAACTTGGGGCACAATCAACAGTGATCCTGGAATGAAAAAAACCCTGTCTGTTTGCAAAGGAGGATGGGGTTGGATGCAGTGTGTGTGAGGAAGCTAAGACACCTTTAGTCTCTAAGAAAAAGCTTGTCAGGTACGACGTCACTGGTAACACAGATGTGGACAATGTTTTTTTTTTAACATTGTTGAACTGGATCGGGGTCACTACAATACTGCACTAAAAAACAACCCTTAGGCAGCAGGAATGGAGGAGGAGTTTCTTCAAAAAAAGCTGATCCGCATAGCCACTGATGGGGCAGCTGTGCTAACCGGCAAACAGGCTGGACTCATAGACTGAAACAGGATTTGACTTGACTTCAGGCAGTTCATTTCAACACTGTTCTCCCAACTTATGCAGGGTGAGAGAGGGGCTTTCCTACATGTAATCACACTGACTGCAAAACCAGGAAGATGTTGCGGGTTAAGAGCCTTTCTGTTATTTGTTACTAAATAATCCAATTTGATCCCCTCACTTTCATACAATCTTGGATTAAAAAAAAAGAACTTCAACTTCAGCATCATGGGTACCAGGACCACAGCCTCCAGAAAACAGACCACTTTGTTGTTTTTTCTTCATAAGGGTAAGAGAACAGGGATAACTGTTTACTAGCCTAAGAGTATTGTATTATGTGCTGTATGAAATTTGTCGAACAACTGCTGGTTTACATGATGCATTGTATCATCCCTCGGTTCTTGCACTGGTTGCAGTAGACAACTGTATTAGACTTTTGACTGCTGCTTGTTTGTTTTGTATAATTAGATTTTTGAAAGATCCTCCAATTAGTAGAGTGCTTCATATGATAATGTGCTACTGTGTGCTGGCGGCGAGCAGTGTGTAAAATAATAACACTTTAATATGAAACCAGAAAGGGCGGATTTGTGGTCTCTCCTAGAGCGATGTGTCTTTGTTGGCAAATTTTAGGAAACTGAAACTTAGTAGCAGTGGGCTGCCGCGTATGTGTGAGAGATAGAGAAAGAAAGTGTTGGACCATGTAATGAGCAATCAAGTCTCTGTCTCTCTCTAGGCGTATTATTTATATATTTATCTCAGCTGGTAATGTTAGTTATATTAGAGATCCCCACAAAGCTCCGATTATTACTCGAACCCTGGTATCTTTACATTACAATTAAGGAAAAACAATTTAAATTTTACAGAAACTGAAAAGTGTTAATGCTAATAATGGTGCTGATAAAACTCAGTCTAGATAATCACACATCAGTGTATGTCCTAGTTGACTTTCACTAGTTAGAGTGGGTCATCCACTGATCACAGGGTTTGTGGTTTGATCCCCACCTCCTCCTGTCCACATGTCTAAATGTCCTTGAATGAATGAGTGGCAAAAACCTTGTAAAGGGCATTGAATGAAAGAGCGGATGGAGAGGAAGATGGAGTGAGTGATGTGACCCTTGACCAGGTTACCAGCTTATTCAATAGCAAACTTCCTCTCTCCAATCTGATCTACTAGCAGCACATCACCTGTCTGAGAGCTGATTTCTTTACTATATTTCCATTCTGTACACATAAAGAGGCTGACAAAGGCAAACAGGACAGTTTTAACAGTTTATTTTATTCTTTGCTCCAAAGCTTTGACTTTAAAGGCCTCGCACCACACTGTTCTGTCTCTTCCTGTGGGGTGATGTGTACTTTATATGCTTAAAGTAATTAAATAAATACATTTTTCTAACTGCTCCCTGGCCAGCATTTATAACTTATGTTTATTTTCAGGCCGATTAAATATTTAGACATGAAATACAAATGTCAGTTAGATTTTAATCTGCAGGAGAAATAAAGAAAAGATGAAAATATAATAATTATTATTCGTCATTTATAATCCTCTGCTTATAGTGACCGATTTGACCCGGACAGACGTGATCACTATAAGAGGTTTCCACTCTACTACGTAATATCAGTTGATGAGTTGCAGTTCCAGTTGCTTCCTGAGTCTATGCGTTGGCAGCAAAAATAACATGAGTTTCCACTTCTCTCTCTGATGCAGGCCTCCTGCTTTCTGATTGTCTTCGGAAGGAACGTCTCGGGGAGAATCCCTTGGATTTTAACCACCACTGCAGGGCCCTCATGTGCAGCAAGCCAGACGGGATTACCGCTGGAGGCTGCCGCCATGAGACCCAACACCCTCTGAAAGTCTTTCACAGTGATGGTGCGGCCTAGCTTCACTCTGGTCACTGAGGACAAAATGGACCCGATGCGTGCAGGCGACAGGTGGCGTGTGATAGCGTAACTGGAGGCGCATATAAGCACGCCGGCACACCGGACACATTAGCTTTTTTCTATTCAGCAGACACTCTGGCATGTTTGAGACTACGAAAGAAGTACAACCTCGAGAGGAAATTTCTTACCTCGAAGGAAGTCTGGCAGAGGAGATGGCTGGTGAGCAGTTCAGGCAGTGTGTTTCCCATGCCCGCGCTACATCACGGCTGGGGACACTCATGCCCTGTGTGTGTCTTGTCTGAGGATGCCGCATACCCAGGCAGCTCTCGAGGGGGCTGCTTGCGGCCATTGCGAGGCCCTGCACCTAAGGGTGCTGAGGTCCCAGTGTGGCTCTTTCTCTTAATGCGGCAGGAAGCGCTCTCCCAGTGGCTCGGGCCCTGCGGTCGCTTCATAGCAAAGAGCTAATGTGTCCGGTGTGCCGGCGTGCTTATATACACCTCCAGTTACGCCGTCACACGCTACCGTTCTAGCGACGCCAATAGGATTGGAGTAGTTTCATTCATGATTTCAGCCCTGCCACACCCAGAGGCGTTGCTATAGTGTCGTCACCGACGCAGTTCGAGTTCCCTTGAAGGGGAACCTCAGCGAGTTCAGGAATGCAGTTACTCTTCAAGTTCATGAGCCTCAACTGTTCAAAGTTTGAAGTTGTCAGCTGAAATTCATTTAATGGGAACATTTGTGGTGAAAGAAGGGAAAAATATCATTAACAGACCTGTCATGTTTAAATGCAACTTTGAAACCAGATAGTTCATATAAATTAATTGTAGGTTCACGTTTCTTTCTGGCTGCGGTTCTTCATTCACAGCTAAATGGCATAGGACAAATATTTGACTGGTTAATCAGTAATGACCACATACTTTGGATTTGTGCATCATGTTGATTCATAAATCCAAAGAGGATTTGCAAAAAAATCCTAATCTACTGTGCCTGTCTGAAGTTTTCTGATTTTAACAGCTTTAAAAATGACGACTATAGTGAGGAAAACAGCCAGACCAGCCAGGATCTCACTCATCAGGTCTATTGTTCCACCAGGCTCCTCTACAAGAACAATTACAGAATTAGATTCTGTTTTCTAATCTGGTGATTTTAGAGAAGATATAAATCACTGACTCTATTGTTAAGAGAGAACAAACTTACTTTCAGTCTTAAAAGTCATCATCAGATTCACCAATAAATTAAATTAAAAACCCAATAAAAGAGGGGGGGTAAATCATTTGACACACAATAGTTTCTTGTTTGTCTTACTACAGTGACATTACATGAGAGATAAACTACAAACATGATGAGGAAATTAGATCTCTGAAAGAGGTAAGGCTTGACTACAATTGACTGTATGTTTGTCCATGTTGATTTTAAGAAACACATTGGAAATGTTGGAGCTCATTTCATCTTCCATTTTTAAATCTGTGACAGAATGAAACTTTTCCATCAGACTTGAACATGGAGGAGATACAGCTGGGCTTCGTTCTGTTGATCAGTCTCAACCAGTCTGTCTGAGTTGAAGTTCTGGAAATGTTGGATCACAGCAGAGTGACTTCTTCACCACGCTGGACCTCCACAGTCTGAGACTCAGAAACAGAGACAGAGATCCAGCCTGAAACAAACAGCAGAGACAACAAGAGATTTATCCCTGAGCGTATAATGCAGCAGATACTGTAATAAGGCAACAACAACTATTAATTCAGTTCCAGTTTACAAGTTTGAATTCTGATGGTTACTGGTTACATTATTTTGTGCTGAGAATAACCAAGTGCCAGTACTTACTGAGGCTGCAGAGAAGGAAAGCTGTTATCAAGGTAAAGCTTCTCATTGTGCGTTTAATGGTGTCACTGCAAGATAAGTCTGTACTACTGAGCTCCTATAAAGGAGATTAGAGAGGCGGGGCGTCTTTTGTTTTTCATCTTTCCACTCACACTGACCTATTAATGCAATGTAATGCCATTGCATATATATTAAGCTTTGAGCTAATTTCTGAACATAAACTCTGAATTATGACTTCACATGAAAATTCAGTGCTAGGAGACTCTACAGTACCATGTTATATCTGTGTCAGATGCAGTTTGAGACAGAAGTTGCCACAAAGAATTGCAGAAGCATAAAAAACAACTCCTTTGTGACTCCTGCCGTTTTACACAGCCATTACTGAAAGCATCCTCCCCTAATCCATAACAGTCTGGTACAACAGAAAAAACAAAGTCAGGGACCTGTGGCGTTTTAATGCTTGATGCTGTGTTTATGTTCATTCTAAAGGTGTTCAGTAGGACTGATATCATGTATCCTATGATCATCTAACAACGACAGGATTGATTATTAAAAAGTTTATTCACTCAGAATTTTTGCTGATGTTGAAATCTGTCCTTGACACCCACCGGTATGCCTTTTCAAAGTTCTGTACAAAGTCTGTTCCTTTTCATTTACATGAAAATCACTTGTAGAAACCCGAGTTGTGTTTAAATATACATGTTTGTCTAATAAGACATTAAGACAGAAAGGGAGACACATGTTTTCTATCCCTCAAGTCACTGGATATAAATTTATAATATGGCAGCTGAGCCTTTATCAGACTCTTAAGTGGCTGCATGTCCAACCTGTTGCATTGAGTGAGCATTTGTCCACATGATGCACCCTCTCTTGCAGCAGACAGAGGCAACCTGTTCTCACTCCCTGACTCGTCAAGTTCAACGCAGTGGGGGAAGCCCCGTCAGTTTTGACGGTAAAGGTGGGTATATGATATCTAACAGAAAAGAGGTGGTTGGGGTGGATGGAGGGCCAGAACCTGCACTTTGAATCAGGAGACCGGGGTTCGTGTCCAAGTAGTTTTTGTATAGCATGCTGTTTCGAAATGGCAATGTTTTGAAACGCTAGCATTTTATTTTGAAAGTTTAGAATCAGAATCAGAATCAGAATCAGAAGCTTTATTGCCAAGTAGTGTTTTACACATACGAGGAATTTGCTGTGGTGATAAGGTGCTACACACAGAAGTCATACAGACATAAATAAATGTAGAAATATATAAATATGGAATAGAAGAACAATGTTACAGATATATACATGTGCAACATATACACTCACCTAAAGGATTATTAGGAACACCATACTAATACTGTGTTTGACCCCCTTTGGCCTTCAGAACTGCCTTAATTCTACGTGGCATTGATTCAACAAGGTGCTGAAAGCATTCTTTAGAAATGTTGGCCCATATTGATAGGATAGCATCTTGCAGTTGATGGAGATTTGTGGGATGCACATCCAGGGCACGAAGCTCCCGTTCCACCACATCCCAAAGATGCTCTATTGGGTTGAGATCTGGTGACTGGTGACATTTTAGTACAGTGAACTCATTGTCATGTTCAAGAAACCAATTTGAAATGATTCGAGCTTTGTGACATGGTGCATTATCCTGCTGGAAGTAGCCATCAGAGGATGGGTACATGGTGGCCATAAAGGGATGGACATGGTCAGAAACAATGCTCAGGTAGGCCGTGGCATTTAAACCATGCCCAATTGGCACTAAGGGGCCTAAAGTGTGACAAGAAAACATCCCCCACACCATTACACCACCACCAGCAGCCTGCACAGTGGTAACAAGGCATGATGGATCCATGTTCTCATTCTGTTTACGCCAAATTCTGACTCTACCATCTGAATGTCTCAACAGAAATCGAGACTCCTCAGACCAGGCAACATTTTTCCAGTCTTCAACTGTCCAATTTTGGTGAGCTCTTGCAAATTGTAGCCTCTTTTTCCTATTTGTAGTGGAGATGAGTGGTACCCGGTGGGGTCTTCTGCTGTTGTAGCCCATCCGCCTCAAGGTCGTGCGTGTTGTGGCCTCACAAATGCTTTGCTGCATACCTCGGTTGTAACGAGTGGTTATTTCAGTCAAAGTTGCTCTTCTATCAGCTTGAATCAGTCGGCCCATTCTCCTCTGACCTCTAGCATCAACAAGGCATTTTCGCCCACAGGACTGCCGCATACTGGATTTTTTTCCCTTTTCACACCATTCTTTGTAAACCCTAGAAATGGTTGTGTGTGAAAATCCCAGTAACTGAGCAGATTGTGAAATACTCAGACCGGCCCGTCTGGCACCAACAACCATGCCGCGCACAAAATTGCTTCAATCAACTTTCTTTCCCATTCTGACATTCAGTTTTGAGTTCAGGAGATTGTCTTGACCAGGTGAAGCAATTGCCATGTGATTGGTTGATTAGATAATTGCATTAATGAGAAATTGAACAGGTGTTCCTAATAATCCTTTAGGTGAGTGTATACATGTGTGTCTAACCGGACATTGCATATTTATTGTTTCTAACTTTACCGGATGATGCAAATTTGTTGTTGCTAAGCATTGCTAACTTGACTGCGAAGCCTTAAATATCAAAAAATTACGCTAAAGGGCTACCCAGGGCGTTCATAAGCAACGCCAAAGGGCTTTGACCAAGCGTCAATATGTGAGGAGTCGGGAGTGAGAATGTGTTGATAGAGGGTATTCACCATTTAGTCTGCAGATCTCCCAGCTGAGCGTGTCACAGCAAGCCTACTTCAGGAGATAAAGAATCTCATGAGGACTCACAGTTGCTCAATTGCTCAATTGCTGAGAGACAGAGTTACTGTAATGAACGGTTTGTGTGGCAAAGAAATAGCTCTTTAGCAAACATTTGTGCTGAATTAATTGTAAAGACAATGCGTCATCCACGATTTTATTGAAATTTTTTATTATCAGTAAATCATGGGTAGCATAACAAGCAGCTGCTAGTGGTGGTAGTGATAGTGGTCGTCATGGTTACAGTGACAGTCATCATGATATACTAGTATTATCAGTATTTGCAGTTGGTTTGTTACTATTTTACCATAAAGTTATTTAAATAAATTATTTCCTATTATTATTTACATTATTATATATATTTATATATAATTTTTATTATTATTTATTATATAAATAATAATTTTACTTTCCCTTCTAAGCGTAAAAGCACTTTCTGCAAGACATACTGAGCAGCCTCCAGCTCTAGTATAGTCAGTGATAGAATGATTGCTTGATGTTGGACGGTGGGGCTGAGAGTGGTGTGTTCAGTACGTGTTCAGTGGGCGGGGCCGTCTACGATGCTGAAAGGCTAGAGGAGGTTCGATGCTACATAGATCCTCTATGATGTCAAGAAGGGAGCCAAATACAAAAGGTGTGTTTGCACACACATTTACTGAAAGACTGAGCCGGTGAAAAATGAGAATATGTATTTTTATCTCAGAATTATGTTGAAAAATACATAAAAACTGCATTGTGCATAATATTGGACCTTCTTGTAATGTGAGAATAGCAATGCTTTTGATGTTTGTGCTCATGGCTGAAGTCTTCCTGTTGTGGAGACTTTATATTTGACTCACACAGACAATGTTTGTCACCACAGGGGGCCGGTTTATTCTGTAATTTTTTCCCCTCACTATTTCTGAGAAATGCCCTAAATACAGTAGCTACTTTAAATGCGTCATTAGCTAGTAGGATCGTTTTCACTGTTTCCCTTTATGTTTGCCATTGAGCTTTGATATCAGAGGCCTCGTGATTTCACCTCAGTTATTCTGACCACACCGTGCCGTCTCTTCCTCCCATACGAGTCACATGTACCACCCCCCCCCCCACCCCCCCACCCCCCCCACAGACTTACTTTCCCTATGAGTGTGACAGCCATGTCTTTTCTGACTCGTCGCTTTGACGGAGAGAGACAAAAAAAAATTAGCTAGAAAAAATAGAAACATTAATCATTTGTTTTTTGGCAGTGATTCCTTCCACTCACTACCCAACCACAAAAACACAACAGCAGTTTATTTTGCTAAAGCATCAGTTCCACTCTGACCTGCAGTTCCAGTTGCTTTCTGAGTTTATCTGGTGGCAGCATACACAACATTTGGCTCCAGTTCTCTCTCAGATGCAGGCCTGCAGTATCTTTTTGCTTTTGGCTGAAAGCTTAGAGCTGCGTAGTTCAGGTCATCTGAGCCCAGATTCTGTAAGTCAGAATCACATACTGTATCACACACACTGCTGCAGCTGAGTTTCCAAAAATCAATCCGTTTTGTGGGTACTACCAAAAAGGGATAATTTAACCCAAGATGAGTCTTAAACACAGTATAGCTTAATCTAATTTAAATGGTAAAACATTATTTTTAATACAATCCCTTTTTTCATAATTTACATATACCTAAGAAAAACTATTGATTTAAACCAAGGTTGTTCAAACAATAGGATATATGTCAGATTGACACTCAAAGTAAAATTATTCCACCTTGCACTGGTTTTATTTGAATTTTAAAATATTGTAACTGTTTTTTGTTAGTAACTGCAGTATAAACAATTATATGCAATTGCATAGCAGAAAGGCTCAGTTTTCTCTTTACTGACAATTTATCCTCTGGTTGAACTGATGAAGCATTTCTGTGTTTCAGAGGGAAGAAAAACAAAATCCCTTTTGGGAAGACAGGAAAAAATATTTCTACAACTCTCACATTCTGAGTAAGCTAGCAAAATCACACATTTTGTATCTTATTTTTTAGTTAATGAACGTCAACTGTTTTGCACTCAAAAGATAACTATTATACTGTCTGCCTAAATTTCCTCTGTAAAGTCACCTGCAGCGGCTTGGAACATCATTTACAGACTCTTGTGTTTAAATGCAACTTTAAAACCACAATTTACAGAAATTACTTCACCTTGTTTGCCTCTGGCTGCGGTTCTTCATTCACAACTAAATGGTAGAAGACAAACTTCTGATTAGTTAAGTATTAGCGACCAAATACTTTGCTTTGGATTTGAGCATCATGTTGACAACATTTACAACAAATTTTAAATCTACTGTACCTGTCTGAAGTTTCATGATTTTAACAGCCATAACAATGATGGCTATATTGAGGAAAACAGCCAGACAAGCCAGGATCTCACACATTAGGTTTGTCATTCCACCAGGCTCCTCTACAAGAACAATTATAGATTTAAAATCTTTTTTTTTATCTGGTAGATTTAAACATGGTTGACATGATTCATGGCTGAATTAAATTACTGATTCTGACTATGTTAACTTGCACAATGAAACAAATCTTGAGAGAAAAGGAGAACCTTACTTTCAGTCTTAAAAGCCACTTCATCATTAGTTTCACTAATAAATTCACCTTTAAAAAAAGGGGGGGGGGGGGTAAATCATTTGACACATGTCAAAAATTTGAAATTAGATCTCTGAAAGAGGTAAGGCATGACTACAATCTTACCTTTAACATTTAAAAGAATTGCACTGGCAATGACTGTATGTTTGTCCATGTAAAATCCACAGAAATACAGTCCAGAGTCAGATAAATCCACGTGTTTGATTTTAAGAAAGACATTGGAATTGTTGGAGCTCATTTCAAATCTTCCATTTTGAAATCCATCACAGAATGAAACTTTGCCATCAGACTGATCCATGGAGGAGATACAGCTGGGCTTGGTTCTGTTGATCAGTCTGAACCAGTCTGTCTGAGTTGGAGTTCTGGAAATGTTGGAGCACAGCAGAGTGACTTCTTCACCAGACTGGACCTTCACAGTCTGAGACTCAGAAACTGAGACAGAGATCCGGCCTGAAACAGACAGCAGAGACAACGAGTTATTCCTCAGCGGAGCATGAAACAACAATGCCACTAAATGAGTTCAATACTAACTAATCTGTAAGTGAAAAATAAAAGAGGGTTGGAGAATAATTAATTGCCGGTACTCACCGAGGCTGCAGAGAAGTAAGGCTGTTATTAAGGTGAAGCTCTTCATTGTGTGCATAATCGTGTCACAGCAAAGGCACTTATATGGAACAGAGACAGTAAAGGGGCTTTCATTGAAAAGGGGCGGGTATTCAACATGCAATGAAGCTCAAACCATTCACCATGGAGTATCTGTCCCTGTTTGGGCCATTGTATCTGAATTTCAGACGGTATAACAAGTAACAATTCGTCTGCACTTCGTCTTCCAGTTTTACACATAATGGAAGGTATCTTCACCTTATCTGTAACAGTCTGATAGGACAGCGAAGACAGACAGATAAGATAAGAAGATTGCATAAACCACATGTAAGTTTGTTGCAGTTGAACAAAACTGTTGCCAAGGAGCACAGAAAGCAAAACATGGAAAACACAATAATACAGACAAAACAGTTACCAAATAAGTAAGTCTGTTTAATGTGTGGCCACACTTTGTTTTAGCACTGTACCAAGACAAGAAAGCTCCTATTACTTTTACATAGGTTTATCTCATTATTTGAATCTTAAGCATTAAATATAAACTTCTGACATTGTAACATTTTAAATGACAGAACAAAAGGGAAATGATAAAAGAACAAGTTTTATGTCACATAAGAAATTTATTTTTTGTAATGTAATTGTAATGGATCTATATTGAACATTTTATGAAGCCTCATAGCCACTCAATAAAGCCCTCTTACTGCAAATGTTACCGGCACCAGAACTAGGGGGAATCTGGACTGGCACCATAGCATACACTGTTACAGATTGACTGTAGAATTTACAGTCCTGTGTGTATGCTGTGCATCCTGATAATTGTATTTCGGTTCTCTGAGGGGTCTGGCGACTGGTTGTTGGAGGGGTGGGGGACCGGGAGGAAGGGGTTTGACGGGGTGGGTTGGGGGTGCGGGCTGATCCTTTTTGAGCTGGTTGGGGGGTGTCTCCACTGGATTTTGGTGCCCGGACTGGAAGCTTGGTGTTTGTACGGGGATCCTGTGTGGAGAAGGATTGTGCTTTGGGTTGTGTCGATGGTTGTTTTGTGGTCACGTCACGGCCCTCTGGATCGTGATCGGGTTGAGTTGTGGGGTGCCGGGAGATTCCCCTAGGTGTTTCCTAGGGGCTGGGTGCATCTGCTGACTTCCTAGAGCTGAGGGGCTGTTGCTGCTGTCGTGGGGTGATTGATGTCTCTTTTTTTGGGGACGGTGGGAGTGTGTGTGATGCTTCGCTGCTAGGGAGGGAAGGGCGCGGGGGTGGGAGTTTTCTGCACTGGCCTAGCCTGAGGGTACCAGAGTCCCCTAGGCCGAAGATCGATGATCGATTTTGGAATTGTTTCATCTGATTTGAGGCTACATGTTTCGGACACTTGGGTGAAGAGAGGGGCGGAGCTGTCAACTGATCACCATCTGGTAATGAGTAGAGTCAGGGGGTGGGGGAAAACTCTGGACAGACCCGGTAAGCCCAGATGGGTAGTGTGGGTGAACTGGGAACGTATGGAGGAGGCCCCTGTCCGTGGGTTCTTCAACGTCGGAGCTTTTCTGGCATCCCTGTGGAGGTTGGGGACATTGAACATGAGTGGGCAATGTTCAAAGCTTCTATTGCTGAAGCTGCAGCGAGAAGCTGTGGTCTCAAGGTCTTAAGTGCATCATGGGGCGGTAACCCTCGAACACCGTGGTGGACACTGGTGGACAGGGAAGCCGTCCGACCGAAGAAGGAGGCCTTCCGTGATTTGTTGTCTCAGAGGACTTTGGAGCTGCAAAGCAGCGGGTGTGGGAGAAGTTCGGAGAAGACATGGAGAAGGACTTTCGGTCGGTAACAAAGTGCTTCTGGAGAACTGTCCGCCACCTCAGGAGGGGGAAGCGGGGAACCATCCAAGCTGTGTACAGTAAGGATGGGACCCTGTTGGCTTCAACTGGGGAGGTAATTGAGTGGTGGAAGGAACACTTTGAGGAACTTCTAAATCCGACTGAGATGCCCTCTCTAGTAGAGGCAGAGCTGGAGGCTGATCGGGGTTTCTCGTCAATTTCCCTGGTGGAAATCACTGAGGTAGTCAAACAACTGCACAGTGGCAAAGCCCCAGGGATTGATGAGATTCGCCCAGAAATGCTAAAAGCTTTGGGTGTAGAGAGGCTGTCTTGGATGACACATCTCTTTAACATTGGGCGGAAGTTGGGTACAGTGCCCAAGGAGTGGCAGACTGGGGTGGTGGTGGTGGGGACCAAAGAGTGTGTGCCAATTACAGGGGTATCACACTTATCAGAGTTCCCAGTAAAGTCTACTCCAAGGTGATGGAATGGAGTCTTCAGCCGATAGTTGAACCTTGGATTGAAGAGGAACAATGCGGTTTTCATCCTGGTCATGGAACAACGGACCAGCTCTTTACTCTCAAGGATCCTGGAGTGGGCTTGTGTTGCGGGTTGTCATGTGTGCAGGCAGGAACAGGTATAGGACCCAAACGCAGGATAAGCAGGCAACCAAAAAACAAAACTTAGAGACCAAAACCGGGCCGATCAGACAGGCAGTGTGACAGCTTGGGAGTATGCCCATCCAGTCTACATGTGCTTTGTAGATCTGGAGAAGACGTATGACCGAGTACCCCGGGAGATACTGTGGGAGGTGCTGCTGGAGTATTCTCAGGGCTATCCAATCCCTGTACATCTAAAGTGAGAGCTGTGTCCAAGTACTCGGCAGTAAGTTGGACTCCAGGTGAGGGTTGGCCTTCGCCAGGGCTGCGCTTTCTCACCAATCCTGTTATTCATGTGATATTCGTAGTCGTGGGGAGGAGGGGTTGCGGTTCGGTGGGCTTGGGATCTCGTCACTGATTTTTGCGGATGATGTGGTCATGATGGCATCATCGGTCTGTGACCTTCAGCTCTCAGTGGATTGGTTCGCAGCAGAGTGTGAAGCGGTTGGGATGAGGATTAGCACCTCTAAATCTGTGTCCATGGTTCTCAGTAGGAAAGTGCCAGCTCCAGGTAGGTAATGAGTCCTTACCCCGAGTAAAGGAGTTGAAGTACCTTGGGGTATTTTATTTATTTTTTTATATATATATATATATATTTTTTTTTTGTACCTTTATTTAGTCAGGGGAGCTTCACTGAGAGGAAGCCTCTCTTTTGCAGGAAGGCCTTGATCACATTCACACCTGGAAGCTGCCCAGTACAACCGCAGCCTGGTCTGCTGGCTACTAAACAGCTCCATTGGAGCTGTTGAGGTTATGGGCCTTGCTCAAGGGCACCTCAGTGGTGGTAAATCAGAGAGGGCATGCACTGCTTGGTTTACTTTCCACACCCAGATTTTATCCTGCCAGTTTGGGGAATGAACCGGCGACCACAAGCTCGCTTCTCTAACCTTTGGGCCACCACTGCCCCGTCTTGTTCATGAGTGAGGGGAGATTGGAACAGGAGCAGCAGGGGCAATATTGCACTCGCTTTACTGCACTGTTGTGACAAAAAAAGAGCTGAGCCATGAGGCAAAGCTCTCGATCTACCGGTCAATATTTGTTCCTACCCTCACCAAGCTTGAAGAAGCTTGCGGGTACAAGCAGCTGAAATGGATTTCCTCAGGCGGGTTGCTGGTGTTTCTCTCAGTTGAGGTGGTTTGGGCATCTGGTAAGGAGGCCTACGGGACGCCTCCCAAAGGAGGTGTTCCAGGCATGTCCAGCTGGTAAGAGGCCTCAGAGAAGACCCAGGACTAGATGGAGAGATAATATCTCCACACTGGCCTGGGAATGCCTTGGGATCCCGCAGTCAGAGCTGGTTAATGTGGCTCGGGAAAGAGAAGTTTGGGGTCCCCTGCTGGAGCTGCTGCCCCCTGTGACCCGACACCGGATAAGCGGATTAAGGATGGATGGAGGGATAGCTAGAAGTTAAACAAAGTAAAGCTACTGTATCCATCCATCAGATTTACTGTGTAAATCTCAGAGAATTGAGGCAGAGCTGCCGGAGGACATCAGAGGGAAAACTAGAAAATATTTAACTTTCCCTTATAAGCGTAAAAGCACTTTCTGCGAGACATACTGAGCAACCTCCAGCTCTAGAATAGTCAGAGGCCCATATGGGGGGAAATTAGGACAATTTCAAGGGCCTCTGACTGACAGGGGCCCCCAAAAATAGGTAAAAACTAATATAAACTAATATTATATCATAAATTATATAAACCATCATCATTGAGTATATATATATATTTCAAATGGAATAATACAATTAATGATCTCTTTGTTTTTACTCATTTTTGGCAATAAAAATTAAATACAGATAAAAGGAGTGATTGGCACAGTAGTCTTTTCCGGTTAGTGGAAATCTTTGTTTGCATGTTAAAATATTGTTACTTTCACATTTTTTCACTGTGTAATGTAATTTAAAATTGTGGCTAAATGTATAAGATCCTTGTTTTAATATCAGAAATTGTCTGTTCTTTGGACGGGCAGGGCAGTGGACAGTATAGGTCTAAGGAGGAGGACAGATTGACGAGTTTCAGCACTGGTGTTATCAGGGAGAAACAGTAGGCTTCCTATGCTATGAGATGGTCATGCAAATATTGCAACTTCTGGACGTTGAAACGTTTAGAGCTCTTAAAGCATTATAGATTAAACCATCTACACTCCGGTCAAGGCCGGTTACTACCCTGCTTTTACTCAGATTGTCCTTGTTCATGTAAAGGTTGGGGTGCGCTTCGCACACATTTATCTAGAGATCATACTCAAACTAAACAGTTGGGGCAAATTATTTCATTTTCATGTCTTGTATGTAATTCATATAGTTACACTGAGAGACAATATTTTGAACACCTCGGAGCTCATCTAAAAAAGTACGAAACTGTTCATTGTGTTTTCAAAGATTGTGACACAGTACTAATATATACTCAACTTTTGCTTCTCATAAGAGTCAAAAGCACAATCCTCACTGCCTTGAAGATTTTAAACCTACAGTATTTCAGACATTTTCAAGTGATGAAAGTGAAGTTACTTCTGATGAAACACTTGTCAAAGAGGGTGAAGATTTAGTTAAAGTCATTGTTGAAAAGCTTGGTTCCTTAATACTTAAAT